CGAGAGTTGACCGATGACAAATTCAAGTGCCTCATCTTTGTGAGCGCCTTGCTTCACCTCGTGATGCTGAAATCCGGACCCGTCTGCCTTCACAAATTGAACAGGACCCAAAGTCTACTCTGCAGACATTGACTACTGAGTGTCAGCGGCTCAAGAATCTCCAGCATGATTCTGCCATCGTGGAGCAACCCAGTTCCTCGTTTGCCGCCACCAGCGTTCAGGCTGTGACCCACGCGAAGTCAGTGTCTCCACGCAAGCCCGAAGACCCCACATCCAGAAAGCCACAATCAAAATGCTGGCAATGTTGTGAATGGCATTTCATGCGCTTCTGTCCATTTAGGACGCACATTTGTTAGAAATGCCACAAGCGAGGTCATAAGGAAAACCACCGTCGTCGTCAGGTCAACCACCCAAATCAAGGGCAAGCGACAGGAAGACGAGAAGTTCCAAATGCCCTTCATCGTACTCTGGCCTAAAGTCCAACTCAATCTTAGCCCCATTTCAGACTGATTTTGAGGCACGGAGGAAATACCTTACGGTTTCCATCAATGGCAAACCTGTACGCCTCCAGCTGGACACGGCATCAGACATTAGTCTCATCTCCAAGCGCACATGGCAGAGGATTGGACGGCCTCGGATGACCATATCGGACAAAAAGGCCATGAATGTTTCTGGCGGATTTCTCCGGCTCACGGGTGAGCTTGATTGTGACGTTTCCTTTGAGAGCACTCAATTCAAGGGAACATGCTACCTTACCAACCATCGGAAGCTTGACTTGAATGACCTTGACTGGATCGAGAAGCTCGGTCTCTTAGACTTGCCACTTAACCGCTTTTGCAATGGTGTGCAGTCAGCTTGGCCCAGTCCCGCCAAATCAAATCAGGTGACAACAAATCTGATGTCAACGCCTTCACCTCATGCCAAAGTGCCTAAGAAGAAGGAGGAGGATCCAGGACAGAAAGCGCCAGCATCGTTCGTGCCCCGTCAAACACCTGGTCATTCAACTCGCAGTGGCGCGCGAAAAAGACGTGGTGCCTCAACAAAGTCTCCATCCTCCTTTCCCACGACTGCCGCCGACTCCCTAGACCTCTCCACGAGGAACCCCAGGGTCAAAAAGGCATGAACTCAAGCCTCTGAACAATCAGCCTATCCGACGTCAATGCAAAGGCAATTCAACCGACGCGACGATGCAAAACAACGATTGTTCCAAACAGGCCAGACGGTGCTTGCAAAGGACTACAGGAAAAGTGGACGATTGGACGTGTTTACAGAAAGTGTGGTGACGTGTTTTACGAGATTCGAGTCGCCTTCAACAGTTGAAAACCAGTTGAAACACACTAAATGTGCTGACGTGTCAAGACCAGACCCAACCATATCACTGGAACTATTACTGGACACATTCAACCTGCCAAAACTAAGGCAAATCTACAGTTCCAGTGATCTGTCAATCTCCCCAAGCTTCTAGGCGATCAGGCCGAAAATGAATGCAAACGGTTTCGTTACAAGTGAACCCCCAACTCAAATCTTACGATTTGTCTTCAGAGGGGAATTGTTAGGACGGCCTAACGAGCAGTCTTAGTAAGCAGTAGCTTGCGAAGCATAGCCACACCCAAGCAGGCTATCGATCGGCCTACACGAGCGAACGTACAAAGGCCGCTAATCGATCGAAAATTAGGATTTCAAACCACTGTCATCCACTGAGCCAAACAACCAATGGGACTGGCCACCATTTCAGAAGGAAATCTGATTGGCTCAATGTGCATCGTTACACACGTTGGTTTCCCTAAAATTTGTTGTGCATAGAACACTAAAGGACTTCTGCCATTACACCCTTCTTGTCGTGTTCTCTCTTTGGGGACTCACAAAGGACATCATTGGGCGGCAATATCTCGGCCTGGGCATTCGTTTCAAAAACAGCTAGGCTGTCACAGTTACTGCCTTCGATCAGAGGAATGCCCTTTGGACTTTAATTATTTGTCTCCCTCTTATTTTGAGATAAGTCTCGCCATTGGTCCTTCGTTTTTTTCCAGTTCTATTTTTAACTGTCTCATCTTCATTCGCTCTTTCAACTTGTAATCCGGCTGGAAGATAAAACTTGTAGATGCAGACTCCATAAGGATAGCTTTCGCTCTAACAAGCGTTGTACCTGTGCCGAGGATTTGATCCCGGGGCTGCTGGAGCCCTCCCTATTCGAAATGCCCTGAGAATTCGGAATGACTCACCTGCTTTTAGCAACGTTTCAGCATACTTTTTAGGAGACGCCCGTCATGGTCACCTGACTCATTTGGAATTGTTGATGCTGACCCTGGACCCCTTTTACAACTATATGCTGCTTATGACTCAATGGGGCGCCTGTTGTCAGTGCACGTGTTTCGACCAGGTGAACACTTGTATCCGGTAGACTTGGTTCGATAGGTCCTAGTGTATTGGCTATTGGGTTAACTGAGTCCAAATCCGTAAACGGATTGGTCTTCTTAGTCCTTTTCCTATTTGGCTTTATGAACGCATTGACCACTTTATCATCGCTTTCTGGTGCGGCGTCGAGCAACGATGTAGCGCTGGGCTTTAAATTCAGATTAATGCTAATGTGACCTGAGCTGAGAAACTATGGTGTAGAGTGCGGACTTAGTTCAACTCCTTTTCAAACGATCGACACGTCCGCTGGTGTACTGGGTTCGGCAGACAAGACGTCTGCTATGCAAGTTTCAGGTATGCCGGCCGAGGCTTTATAGGCATACGAACTTTTATTTACCACAGGTTTTGGACCGGCAAGTGCTGCTTTAACAGCTGCACAAGAAATAGCCGTTTTTAGATTACATACGTCTTGTTTCAGTTTGTTTACCTCTTGCTTCGCCTGTAAAAAACTCTGGCGAAGGTTGAAACATCCCATTCAAGTTTCGTTCTCGTAGCCTACATTCGGTAAAGTAAGTAAACTTTTTGCCCGTTGGCGGGAGGTGAACAATCACTTAAATGAGGCGAATAGCCATACTGGCAGTTATTTTCTGCTTGTGTATTGATTATTTGTCAAGGACTCGTTTCGAAGTGTCTGGGTGGTCAGAGGCGTTGATACATCTAACGACCAGATTTTACGACCCGGGTTCGAGACAATGCGGTGGTGACAGTTTTCGTGATAATAAACTTTTAGCATATACGTTTTACATGCTCAGTGGGATTCTTAGCAAATGCGTTTGATTGTAAAATTGCCTGAAACATAACGTGGGAGTCAGTAGTGATCTTCAATAGTATGACAATATTAGGATAAGGATAAGGGTATAGGAAATCACGAATCAGCCTTGAGTTTTGGCCCATTCTACGATGAAGAGCAGAATCCGGGAGCACACAGCCGGAATGAGATTCGGAGGTGAGCAGAGTTTGAGGCTTGCACTTCCAGTTAGGCTAAATCTTCGGGTAGGAAATGAAACGCAGCAGTGGAATTTTTCAGAGCCACAGAATCGTCACGTCCAAGTTGCTATATCCAAACTTGTGAAAATATACAGTGTACTCTTGAATAATTTACAAAAACCGTGTATCCTATATTGACATATAGATTAAATGCATGTTTGCTCAAAGAACTTGAAATAATATTCCAAACTGGGCCGTAGCGAGGAGGGGTTTATATTCATTCACGAGACTCACACCCCATTTTTTACATCTGTGCTCCTCTTTGAAATGTTGCCACTCACGTGAATTCTTTGGAGACCGTACTTAATTTTGCGGTGCAAATAGGATAGAAAAAGCTTGTGCCTACTTACATATATGAAGTGAATTAAAAAGGACGTCTAGGTAGCTTTCTTAATCAAAGCATCCTAATCCATCCATTTCGGGATGTTATAATCTCAAAAGATATGAGGTTTTTGCATATCTTATAGGCAAATTAATGTTTATATAGATGAATGCAAAACGTTCTAATGTAAAAGCAGTCACTTTAACAATTGCACCACATCCCGAAATTTTCTTGAGAGCACTCACTTATCACCGTCCTCTGAAAAATTCGTAACTTGGAGCCAGGTGTAGGGAAGGCGGTCGTCCCTTACAAATATTTTCACATTTGCGGATTTTCGGGTTTTTATAAATGAAAGTAGTTTTCCTAAAATCGGATCCCAAATAACCATCTCGTTAATATAGTGGCCTAGAGGGTTGTAGAGGCTATATCGCTACAAATATACAAAACGTCTTAGCAAATACGCA